CGGACTAATTTCTTTGCCCTCTTACCTACTGTTTTTCTCTAGACATTCTGAAAACAAACTGGATGGGAAAACGCGAAATACGGGGGCGGAACGGAGGAAATAAAACTCGACGAATTAATTAGAAACGAAACAGCGTAGCGTGTACAGCGAGGAAAATGCAAAGCGGTTACGATTTAATGAGTTTGCGTTACGTCCTAAATTGCGAGACGAAATTACAACGATCTCTCGAAACTCTGTGTCGGTAGGAACGGGGAACAAAGAGAAATCGAAACGTGTCACTCGCGTGTCAGAGATCGCGTTGAATGGAAATTAGCCGGTCGCTGCAACTTTCTCTAGATTGTCGTGGCTTCGATGCGAAACTTCTTCGACTTTTATTCTATCCTGTCCATTGCATCGTTCCAAAGGCAAGACGCGCCAATACGTTCTATTAGAGATAGAGTGAGAAAGAGTTTCATCGAAAGTCCGAGATATTTCAGCTACGAATCGGCTATGGGAATAGAGCTTTTTTCCGTTGCGTCCCTGTCGCCGGTGTCGTTTTCGTTTCTTTTTCCAGCGCGGCGGCAGCAGTACGGGCGCGGAAAATTAGAGGATCCGAGGAACGAGAGAAACTGGCCGGGGAACTCGATTTACATACCTCGACGGGCCTGGATCGCGTCGGATCAAGTTAGCAGGGGCGACGAGTGAACTTAATTAAGCGCGTGCGCGAATCGTGGTTCGCGTCGTACACGTGCCATACACTTCGTTAAATTTTATTCGCCGTAATTGTGCGACTGCGTCGCGTAGCGTCGAGTCTGGTCCACGGGATGCGAACGAGTCCGTGGCCAGAGTCGAGTCGAGTCGAGTCGACGCGACGCGGGGCATCCCTCCAGCCTTCTCTTTAATTACATCCTCGTCGAAGCTTAAGGTTGACCCGACGAACGCTCCTGCACGCCACCCCGAAGGAACTCGATGCCACCGTTTAGAGACTCGACCGTGCGGGGCTAAACCATCTCCCTAGAAAGAGATAGCCTCTTGTCAACGGATCTTTTACCGTTGCTCCCTCGTTAACCCGATGTTAATGAGAAAAATCTTCGTTACACGAGATTCGAGCCGGGCCGAACATGGCAGATGGGTAGGGTTCGCTTAAAACTGTCGCGCGCGCGTCTTGGCCAGGATAATAATTCGTTGCCTACTACTGAAACGGACAGCCACGAATGAAAACGGTTTTTATCTTCGGCCGAGATGGGAACTGTCCGATAGGAAATTGCGTTATCTCGCCTTTGTATTGTACCGATTGTTCGCATTGTACAAACCGTCATTTTCGCAAGCGATTTTCGACTGGAATCTCTCTGACTTGGCAAAAGTAGCGACAGCTACCTACCGATAACAGCGTCAGGCCGACCGAAAAAAAAAAAAAAAACAATACCGCCACGCCAGTCTCCTGTTCCAACAAAATTCACCGGTTTTCCTAACGATTTCACATTCCATTGCATCCCTTTTAATTCGTCACTTTAACTCGCGTTAACGTCGTTTCGCGTGACAACGCTACGATATTTCGTTTAGTCTGGAATTGAAAATTAGTACCGCACGAACGCGTCCCAAAACGGCGGGCCGATTGCCACACGAATATTTAATGCAACGTTAATTATTCGAATTCGGTTGGTGAATTGGCACCATATCGATTTCGCTTGTATGCAAAGGCACGACTGGACGGGTTCGCTATATATACAGCTAATTATCGGTATTTCCGAGACAACGGGCGTAAAAATCACGTAGAAAAAGCACACCCGTTATGTGTACAAACGACGACGTCGACTACGACGACGACGAGGATTTTTCCGAAGCACCGTGAATAGAAAAGACGGACAATTTTTCCGTTTTCCGATTTGTCCTTTCACCCGGAAACAGTTTATTGCCGGGCGAACCGTTCGAATGGAAAGGAACGAGCTGAATTACGAAAGCGATAAAAAGCTAACGGTGGCTGGATAGCCGGCTAAGTAATCGAAGGTATAAGGTATGCTAATGCGACGACGAATTCCTGTTACGAAACCTCGGTTTCCATCGCAATTAACCAGCGATACGGGACGACGTACGACCGGGTAGAAACTCGTGAAGAAAATCGCACAGGTATCGAGCGAGAGACGTTGTACCTTTGGCACGATTCGAAGCGTACCTCGTCGAGATACGAAGGCGACGTTCGTGTCCAAAGACGTATCGTTGAAGGAAAATCGCGAAGGCGACGTAAGGAAGACGGAAAAGCGGCTATTACGTGCCAAAAAGACGAAATACGTGAAGTTCGTGTGTCGTAGAGACGCGAGACGAGGCGAGGCGACGCGACGCGACGGTCAGTCGTTACCGTAAAGAGAAAAAAGAAAATGTTCCAGCCACTGCGGACATTTCGTTTCCGGTTAGAACGGGGGGGGGGGGGGGGGTCCAAGTAGTCTCGGAGAATCGAAGTTGAAAAGCGCTGAAATCGCACTTTCTCGAGTACCTTTGCAGGAACGCGAGTCAAGCAGAGTGCGGGAAAGAGACGGGAACGGGAGCGGGTACGGAACCAAGTGACACGGTGAAAAGAGTAGGAAAGTGCAAGTTATTAGAGCTTATTACTGTGCGTGCAGCCGATAAGGGAGCGAAAGCTGTGAAAGTGTAACCGGCAAATGGCGCTCGACGGAAGATCAATTAGAAATAATTAGTTTTTCTTATCCGAGTTGCCTTTCTTTCGGTCGGCTGACGAGCTTTCGAAGAATCGTCAACCTCTAACGGCAGCAGACGAGACGGTCAATTACGGATGCTCTTGGGAAATAACGATCCGCCGATAAGCGCGCGTCCTGAATTCCAATTGAAAATGAGACAACGACGAGTCGGCGGCGAACGGAACGATAGCATGGCGTATTTATCAAAGAAGAATACTCTTTGCCGATCGGTAAGAGGGAAAAGAGGCGGAAAAGAAACCGCGAGAAATCGAGTTAACCAGAGAGCATGCGGAAGAAGCGAGCAGGAAAAATGATGAGCCAGAAATAATTAGCGGGGTTGCAGAGCGTGGCAGACCGAACGCAGATGTGCCAAGTCCGTATGAAAAATTAATGACATCCCGTTCTCGGCAATCCCCTTTTCCGCCCTCAACCCATTTTACTTCCCTACCGCGCCGAGTTTATTCCCTCTTCGCTTCTCTTTTCTTTTTCCTTCTTTTTTACTTAAGCCTGGTTTCCCTTTATTGCCAACCCTCTTTCGACGATCTCGCGTGTCTCGACGAAATTTAGCCGCGCCACGATCCCCGATAGGCTCTATAATTATCCCGTTTTATCTTCATCAGCTAGGGTGGCTCTAAGGGAACGACTCGCGACCGAGAAGGCGATATAACCATCGTCCAAACGCTTGCTCCGACTGCGTTTTTCATTCTCGAGGACCACCGGTACAAGCTTGGATCGTGTTTACTCCTCGTCTGTTCACCCCTGTCTTTACCCTTCGTTCACCGTTCATCCTAATCCTACCAACGTGCTTCGCCTACTTTCCACCATTCTCCATCCCCATCGCCGACCATCGAATCTGTCCTTTTTAATTTGTCTTCGTTAAACGCGTCAATCATTTTTTCATTTTTCCCTTCTGTCGCCTGGTCTCGTCTCGCCGCGTCCCGTCCCGTTGACTTTCGACGTCGTTTTTCATGTTTTTCCCCTGCATAACGATCGATACGTTACATACGCGACAGCGGTTCGTAACGACGACCTACTGCTTCGTAACGACGAAACGAACGATCGGCGCCGATGAAAACGGAACCGGCAATCCGTTTAAAACGATCGTTCGACGAATTGTCGGCTCTCGGTTCGCGCGGATCGCGATTCTTTTTTTCTTGCTTCTGTTGTTCGAAAGGAACATTTTACCAAATCGATGGGTTTCAAGTGAAACCGGTGAATATGAAAATTACAACTTCCCTGCGTTCGTCGGCCGGATGCTTTGTATGGTACACCGTTGATTTATGCGCGATTCCCAAACGCAACCGCAAATGGAGTGACGGAGAAATATTTACAGTTAATATTATCCTATTATAAAAGCGATGACCACCGTGTTGCGTTGGACGGGCAATGTTATAAAGCACGCTATTGATCAACGACGAGATGCAACGCGTCTCTGTGCCTGTAATACCGATAATTTATGAGCACGAGCGCGGTCTCCTCTCTCCTCCGCAATTAACTCGTCGATTTCTATTCCCCCCGGACGTCTTTGTAGTGCAACTACCCCAGACCTTCCGATACTCCGCCGCGATGCATGTTTTATTTATTTATGCTAATCCTTGCCTCCCGGCAGATCATCTTATCTTCAAGTTTACTGCCTGAAAATTTCATATCCGACCTCCATCTGTGTACATACATGCACTTTACGACAATACTCCCGCTATGCAGTTTCTCTATCTTTCGCATCCTTTCCCATTTTTATTTCGTCCAAATGGAAAAAAAGGACACTTAAAACTCTAACAACTGGTCGGTCCCTGGTTGCATTCGCAACTTTGTTCAACGTTTGATTACCGATCTCGGAGTTCGCTCGTTTAATTTTTCACTTCCCCACCGAGAGATTTTTGTTTTTACTTAACCATGTACTCCTTGCTTCTCTGTCTCTTTCGTACCGTTGTCAGGCTCCACTGCTGGAACGTCATAAATTCTAACCATCCTACTCTACCCCTTTTTCCTATCTCCTTTCTTTCCCCTTTACCGGGTACCACTTTTCGAGTCGTATCCGCTACTCCCGCCTCGTTCGCGTACGTTTCTCTCGAAAAAACTGCGATAACGCGGAAGAAACGGCGGAGCGTAATTAGAAAGAGTGCCATTTTTAAACCATTCCCCGAACCTCCCCGTCTCCTACATTCTCAGAGTCAGCATTGCCGTCGCGCTCCTTTTTAGATCTCTGCATTTTCATTATTTTCCCATATCGTGAAAAAGGACTGTTCGAAAGTATACCACCAAAAGTAACTTTGGAATCGATTATTTCTACCCACATGCAAAAGTGTAATACAATGATTGGGAACTTACCCTCTTGTCCGAGAAGAACCGTGATTAAAAGCAGCGCGAGATCCATCGTCGGATTCGCCTCCTCGGATCTCGAAATCGTCGACAACCTTCACCTTCGTTCTTCCAGCCTCGTTCAACCTTCTTCCTGTCACTTTTCTGTCGATCCTTCCTTCCTTTCAGGCACGAGAACTGTCAGGAACAACCTAACGCGGACACACACGTATGCACACGATGAGTTACGTAGTCGTACTGTATTTTTCTTTGCGTGATCGCCACTTTTCACGCGTCCAATCCTTCCTTAGATATATCCAAACCCCCTGTCCCGAATTCCTTGCTAACGAACGCGGATAAATGCCAAGGAAGACGGACGAGTTGTGACACGACCCCTCGCGGTATCTCACGCGCTGCACCCTCGTCAACCGGGATCGTCGGCTTCGTTTAAAAGTCGTTTCGACCGTTAAATATTTCTCGCCGAGATATCGAAGAATTCCGCGACTTTCGAGCAGCGCCGCGTCATCCGATCTCCGGTCCGATAGCGTTGGCGGGCGATAGTTTGGCACCGAGACAGACCCGTTAAGAGGGTGGGTAATTTTCAGCGGAATCTCGGACAACGATCGCAACGTCGACGAAAAATAAGAGCCGGGGATACTTGCGGGGGAGTCGAGAAACTAGCGGAGCAAATCTTCGGCAAAAGGACGCAACGAGCCGAATCTGCCGACTCGTCGTCGTCGTCGTCTATACCGTATTTCCTTTGACAATTAACGTGAACGAACACCCTTGGTATCGAAGATCGCTAACGATGAATTTCGAGCCGCGAATATTCAGAATGGCTCGTTCAAATATGTAGTAGGAAGCAATTTAGGAACAATGGTGATTCTACTTCGTTTTCTCTGATAAGAACGCGGAAACCCGAGGCAAACAAAGAGAGAAAGAGAGGGAGAGAGAGTGAGAGAGGTGAAGAAAAATAAAAGAAGAAAGAGATAAAGGAAAAGCGGGAGGGTGGACGAGAGACGGGACGAGAAGGAAAGGCGCGAGCGAAGAAAAGAGAAAAAGGAAAGTATGCCGTCGTACGGAAGGTACGGCTTTTAAATGCAACTTGTTGCAATCTCGCCCAAAGCTCCGAGGTTCCTTCGACTCGAAACGCCCACGTGTGTCCTTCTCATCTGGAGAACATGCACGCGTGTACGAACACGTGAATCGATCCTGCCTTTCAACCGCGTTTCCCGATACTTCGGTAACCATTGGGAATGCATTTCCCAACCGCGAATCGATCGATTTCGAAGGAAATCGAGGAAATGTTCGTATATCGTACCTTTAACCCCTTCCCGTGTTATTTAGCTCGACGAAACTCGGGCCTAAGCGATAGTCGTCAACGCGCGCTAAACAGACAAGACTGACTGGTGATATTCGTGTTTGGCCCGACTATCTGTTTACGAGTCAGACTCGTTAAAGTACGGGAAGGGGTTAATCTCGTTACGAAATAAAGGAAAATTTACAAACAAGTTTCGACGGAGCACTGTCGCGAGCGACCGAACGGTCTGATATCCGGAGGTCAACTGGAAACGAGAGGACAAACGAGGCCCGAATTATTAACCGAGCTAGGTCTGCTTGTTTACTCGACGATACCAACCATTGCGATCGCTCGACCGACCCTTTGTTTTTCTCTCGTGACACGTGCACAAGAATGACCGTTCAGGTGGACACACGCGCTTACACACATCTACACAATTCGATTCTCTCTCTCTCCCCCTGACAGACACACATACACAAACACCGTTCGTTTCTCTGTCCCCCGTACCCTTCGAACCCCACGTAGTCCAACCGTATAACGCGAATGCGTATTGATTTGACCGAGACTATTCCCTTTCGGATCCATTCAAAGAAGGGGCGGAGCGTGGTGGGTGTTCGTTCATTCGTTAACATAATTGCATCGACTCGACAAACTCTTCACACCCGATACCTTTCAGCGCGACTAACGACGGGATCGATATCGCGATCCACAGTCAGCCTAGGTCCCGTGAAAAATTGCAAGTTCCCGAATGGATTCGATTTGTTACACCGTTTTGCTGCTGATCGTTCGATCGTTCGCGATTCCTCCGCCTTTTTCACCGTGGTTTAATCGAATTTCGGAGTTAGCACAGAGGTTACCGTCGATCTTCGAGAGGGATTAAGAGCGGCTTACCGCAATGCCGCCGTGCCGCGCCGGTAGCGGCTACTTGTGGAGAAGCTACTTCCGACTCATCGGTCGGACACGATCCCAGTTTATTCGCGCGTTACACGGAAACATCGATAGAATTGAAAATCAACGACGAAAGGTTGAGAAAATGAAACTTAACTACGCGATAGGATCGAGAGTTCGCGTACATAATATGGAAAACCGGGAAATTGAAATTTTCAACGAACCAAAGAAATTTCCTTTTCAAATCGTTTTTCGCGATTTACCCTGACGCGTCGCGACACGGGACGCCAGGCGAAGCGACGACGAGAGGAAAGTTCGCGTCGCGGATGGCCGATGCCGACTACGAAAGCTCGACGTCGCGCCACTTTAGGTCGGTGCGCCGGTAGGTCGTATACCTGGGCGCTTGCGCGTTGCAAGTCGAGCAGGTGCGAAATGCACGCGACTCTCCACATCGAAAGGACGGAGCCGCGCGTGCTACGCCACCGAAACAACGTCCGACCACGGCCACGATCCGATCTTCGGCTTTCGACACGCTGCATCGATCGGAAACCTCCTCCTCGCCCGTATCGAGCTCGGGCTCACCTTTCCTCTTTAGATGTTTCCATCCTATCGGACGGAATTCAGAGACATCGACGCCACGAGTCGAGAGCGTAACCTTCTCTACTCGACGCAATGTACCGTCTTTACTAATTATCAATATCCCGTCAGGTTGATTGATATTACCGTTCGCACAGTCGGAGAAAAACGTTCGGTGATAAGCGTTTCGTACAAGTTACGGAAATACTCTCGTTACGAACAATTTTATCGTCGCTTCGTCGAGAATACGCTCGCGGGATCCTTGCTATAAATTCACGTACCGACCTCGGGGAAACGACGTTCGCGACTAATTGTCCGCGAGATCGAAGGCTTAGCGACGAACGTTCGAAAGCTCCCTGCCGATGGTTGAAACAATTATTCCCTTGTTCTGTTATCTCTTCGAAAGAGATCGATGCGTGCGAACAAAGGGTAGGGGTACTTTAAAGGCGATAATAAGCTCGGTCGTTTGTAAACGCGTGCCGCGGGGAAATCTTCGCGAATGGAAAAAAGAGGGGAAATTAACTTTCCACCGTTTTCTTCCCTCGACGATTCGTTGCCGGAGATCTCTCGGTTCTCTCGCTGCCCCGCGTCGGAAAAAGAAACGAGTTTGCCCGTGCCTTTGCGGCATCTCAAGACCGTTACCTGCACACGGATGCAACGAATGCAGCGGATCCGCTGCATTCAAAGAGCGTGGAAATTTTTTCGTAACGGTATAATCGTTTTTCCGGCCCTCTAGGCCTCGTTTCCACGTTGCTTCTCTTCAATTTTCTACGTAAACTGAAACGAACGCACCAATTAATGTTAACGATAACCGTGATCGTTAACAGCCCGCGCGGAGAACGCGAAGAGCGAGTAGCAACAACGAAAGGGAACTCGTAACCGATTCAATGTTACTTCTCGTTCACCGTTTCGCGAGCTTTTTCACTCTGGTACGGCCGTTTTTACGCGAATCGAGCGTACAGAGAGATGGAAACTCGGTGCAAGAACGACAAAGAAAGGAGAGATGAAGAGAGAAGGATAGGGGGTTTGCATCGAGCATTTTACGATACGATTATCCACCTTCCACGGCCGGGACACGTATGTACATATTTTACCCCGGTGAATTCGAATCTGTCCATAACGCGTATTAGCGTTTATCGCGCGATCAACGTCTCGATAAAATCGTTGTTGCCTGTTGGTTATCCCCGCGATGATAGGCGGATAAAGCGAACGCGGAGAAAGGCAAGGGGTAACGCGTCGAAATTCCGTTCCCTTTATGCTCGCTGCGGTGCTCCTTTGAAAACAATTGCGGTACAAATCCCAGTTCGTAGGTATAGACGATAAATTCCACTGTGGTTTGCAGTAGATTGAGAAGACAGCGAAATTGTTTTCGCTGGAAACCGCGTATACGGCCGATCCGACGATTTGCGGTTACGCCATCAAAGACGTTGTACTTTGTACGGCAACTTTTACGAGATTGGCGTAGATTGATCATCCCGTTCATTAATCGAGGCACGCGCGCGCGATCAACGATCTTGTACATACTGGGTGCACGGAGCACGGGAAAAGAGGGAGGAACGATCGTTCGAAATGCCAGTTCGAGAGGGATACGTCAAGCAAAATCGTACGTGTCCTTCTTATTGGCGGTTCCAGTTCGAATATCGATACTGCTCGCCTTTCCTCTTCCCTCCGCATCTCCATCCATAGAAATAAGTTTACCTGTGCCGCTAGCAGCGTACGCGTTAGTCAGGCTGCGATCGTTCATTGTTAAAATCGTGCTTATCTAGTAATGAATAATTCATCGTCTCGTTTATCTTTTCCCACCGGCCGAGTTTCGCGAAACGGACAACGGTAAAAATAAAATTAACATAAAGCGAAGCTACGAACGTGATTTAGCGACGCGTAAAAAATTTGTTCGCGCAAGGATATTCCGGCTGGAACGCGTCGTTAATCAAACAATCGTCCCGCGAAATTAGTTTCCCCGAGGAGACAACGCTCGTCTGCGATCCCTACCAGTGGATCTCTCGTCGAGTGGATTCCACGCGCTGTAGAACGCTTGGAATTGGAGGCGATACGACCACGACTCGACTCGACTCGACGAGTACAACAGCATTGTGACGCAAATTCGTGTTATATCGGTAAAGGTATTAAAGAATATTCATTCCGACTTTATTCCTCTTAGCTGGTTAGTTAGGCAGTGAATTCGTTTCGGAGCTGTAACGCAAGGGATGACGCGAATCGGTCGGTAGCACCGTATGTAGAAGGCTCGTGCTACTTAACCCGAATAAATAGAACCGTTCTGCGTCTGCTGGAAGATAGTATCGACCATCCTTTCCAGCTCGTCGCACCGGCAACCTTCCTTTTCCTTCTCCTTCTCCTTCTGCCACCGACTTTCATCCCTCTCGTTCACCCTTTTGCCGGTTCTCATTCGCTCGCGTTCCTCCGTATCCGAGCCCTGTTGCACTACAC